TCCATCACTATGGCAAAAATTTTATATCATTCTATTTATCAGTTGGCATTGCATTCCTGATGTCAGGCTAAGGCAACAGAAAACACAAAACATTTTGAGCCTAAACAGTACTTTGAATTACATGTAGCCCTAGAAGCCAAAAGCTACATCAAAGGGTTTAGCATATCCAATAAAATATTGGTAGGAATTGACGTGCATACCTGGAATTTGTTTTCCATGTCATTGAGTTCCTGCTGTGTCAGGCACAGTCTGTTCTCAAGTTCTGCTCTCTCTGCCAAGAGCCTTGACACCTAGTGTAGTCAGTAAACAAAAGTCAACCTAAACTGGTCTGGATTCTTATTAAGTCAAGACATAGGAACATAACTTTTCAAAATTAAGCAGTTAGTGCTGTTTTATCTCTGAAAAATCAAAATTTGCTTACCTCATTTTCCACATCAGGGTTAATCTTACTGGTACTTCCTTTCATATCAGGAGTTGATGATGAAATATTTCTTGTCTTTCGAAATGGAAGAGGAGTGGTGAATTGCTACAATTCAGATGAGAAAAGGAAACTTTAATTATTTATCTCTCTTATAGAGGTGAATTTTTTTACAGTGATAAACCTTATGACAAGTTATCGAGTTTACACTTACAAAGTCACCGCATTTGCTGTCATTGCGACTTGATGTGCTGCAGGCACTCATATCTGTGAATAAAAATGAAATGGTTCATTATTTATAAAAGGCAAAGAATGTGTTGTAGGTGATTTTTACCCTCAATACAATTTATATTTTCTTCTGTTTTATATTCATTTGATTATCATCAGAAGCATATATAGTGTAACCCCAACATATCCATCAGGCCAAGCAACCCATCTTACCAAAGGCTATTCCAGTTTCTATATAGCATCACACATTGGTAGCTAGGAGGATCCCCCCTCCCCCCTCCTGGATAGGATGTCTCTCTCCTGTGTGGAGAGGGGCACTGTGAGAGCAGAGGGTCTCATCCAAGAACACAACAAATAACCCCAGCCAAGGCTCTGATCACTTGATGTGAAGTCCAATGTGCTGATTGTATGACCACCATACCTCTGAATGTATATTTCTTCTGATCAGTGCTTTATTCTGAAAATGAAATTAATACAGTACATGCTAATAATATTGTCCTTACCAAGTAGACTAACATTATTTCCAGGACCAGGACCAGAGTCTGAAACACAAATAAACAATAATTATCACAAATCATACAGATTTAGTTTATTTAGTCATGGTATTACCCTAAATATACATGACATGTGCTTGCCCCCCAATCCTGGATCAGAGCACTGAGAAAAAATGGTCATGTGAAAAATTGTCACTATAATTTGGCTTGTAGCTCAATCGTCCAGAAAGATCAAGATTGCTGACAGAGGGTCTTACAGTGAAGTATTGCAGGTTGTCTGCTGCAGCCATAAGTGAAAACATTGCAAAAAGGTTGAGCTAACTTTCTCTGCAATTAAGTGATATCCTTAAATTGTATTGTATCAGACACTACCAGGGGTTTTGGGTATCTGGTATCTGAAGCTGTAAAATAATATTCAGGTATGTGATAGTTTTTGTCACAATTCGGGTATAAAGTATCTACACAAAAATTGGTATCCCTCCATCTCCATCTCTATCTCCCCTAGCCAGGCCTGAAGTAAAACTTTGATTTGCACCTGGAGCAGGGTTACATGTACTTCTTAGTATTAGGCTAATGTGGACATGGGTCCCATTGTCACGACAGGATTGACTATAATGGGGTTGCATTTTCAATATAGTTACTAGAATGGGGCTGCATTTTTACAGGATTTTGGTGGTATGAAAATTCTGGCAGGAAATGATTTGAAAATGGGAAGATTCAAGTCAGGGTGAAAAAGTTGTTACCGTCCTACATTTAATTATAAAATTGTGTCACTTTATTTTAGGATGAACAAGTTAAAAGGCATTATAAAGTAGATGCACAATATGTAGTATTTCTGCGGTGTTGAATTCAATTCAACAACTTAAATTTGACAGAAATTTGACGTCTGAATCGGCTGCAGCACTTCTACGACACGTTCAACTGGTTTTGTCACATCATCCAACAGAAATGCGACACTGATTCAAACGTCAAATTTCTGCCATGTCGAATCTATTACATGCATTATGTTTATGTTAATAAATGTATTGACCATGTATAAATGTGGTCCCGCCAAAGGCAAAGAAGAAACTTGGCCATTCTTGTCCCAAGGCAACCTGAGCATATTGCAACACATACTGCTACAACCTGAGCCTTCTCCTTCTCATTCCATTGGTGGATAATAATTAAGTCCTTCGTTGCTCAGGATCTTCGCCCGCCATATCAAATACTCTATGTTTACTAAAAACATTTTCCGCTGACTGACATACCCGACAGTATTAATTCTGAATAAAGTTAGACACAAGTAAAACATCTGCATCGACAGTCGCATTTCTGTCGCACTTAACTGAATTGAGTTAGACACGGCAGGAATGCGACCTATGAACCAGGCCTAAGTTAACCTTGTGAAAATTATATTTTTCCAAAAGTGACTGGGATGGAGTCTACAATTGGCCACAGAATGGCCTATAATGGGGGTAGGAGCTTTGAGAGGCCAGTGGCACATACCCAGCAAAAGTTGACCCAAATGTACACACCTACTCCGGGGGATACTTGCATTATATTTTGCATGTTTTAGCTGCCTTTCAGCTACAGGCACAGTTAACTCTTTTACACTCACCCTTTAATTCAGCAAATCGTTTTCCCTTGCCAAAGCCAGGTGCAAGGCCTTGTTTACGATTCTTGACATCATACAAGCCAACAGGAGGTGCCTGGGGAACTGTACAATGAAAATATTTCCGAGATTCTTTGCTTTATCTTTCCGTGAAGATTAAGTTTCATAGGTGATATATGCTTCTGGTTTCATAAGCTCCTGAAGTAACCCAATCATTGCAAACTCATGCTACTGATCTAAATTAAATTACTTAATACGTGTGCTCTTTGATTTAGCTTTGAGTTTAACCTGCCTTTATCTTGCAAGGCCACAATGTGTTACTTCTTAGCTGTTTCTAGAAGCTCAAATGATCATGATTTCCAATTAATATTTAAACAAAGATTTCATAGCGGGTGCCACCACGCGTTTCATTCATTCAGCGAAAGCACGAGAACTTTGTATGCGCTTCAAGTCTTTTGCATGAATTTGTAGTTCAAGGATTCAGCATATTTTCGTAAATAGGGGGACAGTGGTCGTGTAAAGCTCACATGCATTTGCTGGCAAATGGTGCAGCACAACTGGAATCCTCGCAACTTCAAACAATCGAGGTAAGCTTATCTTGAAAATTACTTACCTGACTCTTGAAATCTCTTAGATTTCAGAAACATGTTTTCAAATAAAAACGACGTCTCCTTGGACCAAAAAGAATGTAGAAAATGTGCGGCCTTCGAATTTCTTTTGATAAATATCGATTGAAATGTACTCGTTGTTCGTTGAGCTGAGTAGCAGCGTTTTAAAAATCAACCAATCACAAGAAACGATATATCGTTTGCCTCGATTTCGCGATGACTTGACAATGATATTTTTCCCGCGAGATTTTGAACAGATTTGTTGCTAAAGCAGCTACGAAATTCTAAAGGATACTTAAGAACCGATACTCCGTTGAGTTGACTGTGTTGTTTTCTGAACGCTTGTATCTCACAGTAGCCTACAATGGGATTTGGGCCATTTGGGGTTCTGGGAGAACAGCATTTCCCTCCCGACCTAAAACTACATCGATGATAGAACTGCTCAAGTTTCCTCCTTAGCTAAAACATCACTAAAAGTAAGGAAGCATACCAGTTGATTATCCAATTTTAATTTTTTTTCGTAAAATTTCAAAATATAGCTACGGTGTACCGCCGAAATTCGAACTGCTCAGTCATCTCGGAAGCAACCAATAAAACGTCATAATATTACCATGTGATTCTTACTGACCAATCAGAACTTGTTTATCTCAAGGTTTTGATTGGTTAATGGAAGATTAGGTTGCCAACAAAATGGCGTCCTTCGCAGCTGAAAGAGGAGTCAAAGTTTGCACCAAGATTTTGTCGTTTCTTTCGAATCACATCGAAGTAATCCACTTTTCTTGAAGCAGACTTGATTGATAATGATCGTGCCCTCGTCCCTAACAGCTTTCAGAGATTCCTAGCAGAATACTTTCCGCAGGATACTTTAATCAATCGACCTTGACCTTCGCGATGAATTCAAGTTTACGTGATGAAGATTACATCAAATTTCTACAAGATCAAGGTACACTTAATTGTTGGTTTGATCTCTAGAAGGAAGCATTTATGAAGCCATGATTAGCGTACAACTTTGTCTACAGTGAAACGATCGATATCGCTAGCCCACGGCCACCTGTTGATATGTTTATAATTCATGAGAAAACGATCGATTATGAAGTTATCAAATATTAAAGCTTATCGATAATGCTAATATAGAGATTTTGGGGGTATGGCGAAGCGAGTTAGGTCCCATTGTTAGTGAAAATGGTTTAAGATGTCATGTGCATACTTAAATGTTAATAACTTGTTATTGTAACAAATAATTTGAAGTCATAACCTTATTTACGATAAATGAGGGGTAACAAATGACAACTTTGATTTATATGTTTATGGCAAATCATAACTTACAACTTGGGTTGGATAAAGACATACAGCTGATTACTTTAATCAAAGAGATGGATCTATGGCACAGATTGCGCATCTTGAAAAGTGTGCTGACAATTTTCAAGTTTGTCATTGTGCTGTTTGGTGTTTCCTCTAAATTGAAGGACCTCAATGAAAGCAAACAAAAAATAACAAAAACACTTAAGAGGTAATTTTCAAAAAGGAAACAACATTTTTCATTGTACAAAACATGTTTTGACATTCCAATGTCATCTTCAGTCGCAAATGTTCGGCGGTTGTACGTTTGAATTTTCACTTAAGATGTAATAACAAAGCAAATAAATATGAAATGCTAGACAACTAAGACAATCTGAGCTACTTCTCTAACTCTATTGATGCACGCTAAGGGGCAGGTATGTTTTTCAGGTTGCAGGTTGAAAAATCGACTTACACATTCGAATAAGTCTACAAAGCTGGTACGCTTGAAGAGCACTCCAGTTAGCCTAAATTATATTAGCTTAGGTTGCTTGCAGTTAGCCTTTATATTTAACAATTATTCCATGAAACCGCGTTGGATATGAAGTGATAAATAACCAACGAGCGCGTAGCGCGAGTTGGTTATGATCACTTCATATCCAACA